TAGATTAGATAGATAGATAGATAGATAGATAGATAGATAGATAGATAGATAAGATAGATAATAATTAGATAGATAGATAGATAGATAGATAAAAACAAGTCTCATGTCTTTTTGCTTGCAATACCTTTATGTTTTCATGTCATTTTACAGTTATTTACATGAATCAATATATAAAAAATTTTTCTGTCATTCTCTCTCTCTCACTCTATTTAACTCTTCTCTCTCATTTCAGGACAGATCCCTGTGCGGTGGGAGGGACAGGACAGGCAGGAAGAACGGAGCTTGTATTGGGTCATAAAAGTATCTTGATCATCCTGTCCCAATGAGAATTATCTTTGCTGCTTACAGCCAATCAACACTCTCCTCGTTTAAAAGATATATTTTCCTTACAAGCAACCATTTCCTAGTGCTGCAAAACCTCTTAGTGGAGGAGGTCAGGGTGAACAGATGCAACGAGGAAATCACTAGTTATATCCTTTTTCCTTCGACAGTAAAAATTTTAATCATGAAGTCAATAATTCCCCAACTTTATCATCCTTCTGTAACCCGCCTCCTAGAAATTACGTTTATTCAGTACTGCACTTCCTACACTTGAAAAAAACATTGTAGCAAAACAACTATTTTCAATTAGTCATTTGGGTAAATTGGGCCAAAAGAATCCTCAATAGTGAATATTTGCTCCTTTTTTTTATTTAATAAACACANNGACAAAAATCTGCTGGACATTTTTCACTGTTGTGTCAGGTTTTATTGACTAAACTAATCAAGACAATAAGTGGTAATTAACCAATAATAAAGATAATCCTTAGTTAGGCTGTGATTACACTAAACAAATTATTAATTATTCACTGAACATTTGTAAATAAATGTAATTTCTAGGAGACAGGGAGTCAGATCAGAGAACGCTCATACGGGCTGTTTGGAGGACTTGTTGGCCAATCAGTCTGCTCATCTTCTATCTGTCTCTTCCCTCTCTGTTGTCCTCCCTCACTGCTCTCTCTTCTGCTCCTGTCCGTCTTTGTTGATGACATTTTTGAAGAGCGTGAGCAGGGGCCTCTGGCTGCGCTCGTCCCAGCTCTTCATGAAGCCGCCATAGCGTTTGCTGGCCGGCGGCCCACCCCAGCGGAAGTGCTTCATCTTGTACGTGCCATCCTTCTTCTCATGGAGCTGCTCCTCTTCCGCCACCTCCTGTGCCTTCTCCTCGTCCTCTGCTGCTATAATCTCACTGGCGAGCTCTCGCCTTCTCATCTCTTCAGGGAAAACCTCGGCCGACTCCTCCTCCACGCCGTTGGAGGTGAAGACTTTGACCGGGCGGCGCTTTCGCCCAACAGGCTTCCCCCAGCGGAAATGCTCCATAGAGTAGGAGCGCTTGGCCTGTGGAGAGGAGGAGGAAGAGAACAGGGAGAGGGGAGGCAGAGACTCTGATGGAGGAAGAGGTTGGAGGTGGCCATCGCCGGGGATGATCGGTGTCTCTGCGGTGAGGTCGGAGCGACAGAGCTGGATACACTCCTGCAGGAGAGGACAGAGAAGGTGTTTACTGTAATAAGTGAGCAGAGAGCAGACTACGGAGAATGGAAAGGCCCGTAAGGCATTGCCAGTATGCAGGGGTCAGAGGTCAAGAGATCCCTTTGGAAATGGCCTTGCCAGTTTTTCCATTACCATAGCCAAACAGCTCAACTGTCCTAATGTGTGTCCACACCTTTAACACAGTCTTGTTGCCATATTGAGGTTGCCAGGCAACCAGCACAATACCCAGAGATGCTGTTTTTAAAAGTCATTTTTACATTTTTGTCTGGTAAACAAATGAGATTCAACATGGAGACACACTGGCTGTTTCATCCTGCGTCAATACTTTATGCTAAGCTCAACCTGATACCACATCAGCAGACATGTAAAGCAGGTAAAGCAAGAAATGAGTTGTTGTAACACACTTCACACTGGCTTGTTATTCAAATGTGCAGTTTGGTGATTCCCAGCTGCTAAGTGAGGCTAACAAAATCCTCCAAAAGGCTCCAATAATAATGTTTAACTACACTTAAAAATGGATGAATTAAATACAAAATTGACTTTTCTTTGGTATAAGATCCATAACATTCTCTCAGAAGTTGTCTCAGACATTGTGGTTATCACCAGTGTACCTGTGTACTGTGTGTGTGTGTGTGTGTGTGTGTGTGTGTGTGTGTGTTACCAGCATGTTGCTCTCAGAGTTGAGCTCCTGACAGCTGGGATGTTCCAAACACTGACCAGCTCCTCTGGCCACGCCCGCCAGCGCCACAGCCACCAATAACCACACAGGACACATTTCCCTGCCGGCCGATCAGAGATAGCGACACATACATGTGATCTTTTGCAGACATTTACAAAGTAAAAGGCTCTCATAACGACGCACATGCAGTCAGATTCAAATCAAGTTCATTCATTTGGTTTTAATTTGTATTTCCAAAGCACAACAATGATTTTAAAAGTCATAAATGTAGAGAAATAAATAGGCCCCCAGCTGAAACATATCTTCAGCACAGAGAAACACTAAATAAAGTTAAACATTAAAATCATTTCAAATGAAAAAAACTGTGTGGTGTAAATATCGAACGATAGAAATCTGAAAAATCAACAAACATGACAACAAAATGTATTTTTTTTAATGATTTAAAAATTCCACAATACTCATTATTGTATACACTTTATATATACATTATTGTGATATACTGGAATTATAAAATACAATATTTTCACTGCTACCACATTTACTGCACATGGTGGAAATTAATATTTGACACACAAGAAAATTGTTTCAGTGTCTTTTGTGGAGATGATGAAATAAAACAACAAATGTATGTATGACGAAAAAAAACGTGTTTATGTAATCATCAAAAGATCACCAATAACTTTAACTTTAAACAATATGATGTACATTATAGAGTTTGTGCCATTGCTGCATTTACTTACATAAAATATCTACCACTGATATTTGGGGAAGATTTTGAACAGCTTTTGTTCAAACCTGTGTAATCTGTGTACTTGTACCTGTGTACTGTGAGAAGACGTGTTAAACAATTGATTTATTTCAGCGCTTCCTCTAAAGGCGTCACTATTAATTCCTGTATGTTTTCAATGTTGCATTATATCTGTACAGGTAAGCTCAGGCTATGTGCTCCTTTTAATAAGTCGATCTTTAAAAAACTGGGTCATTTACCCCTATATCTATAGTATTTATAATATTTTGGGCTTTCTGTAATGTTTCGCTTGACAGCATTATTTTTTCTTATTACAAATAGTCTTATGTTAAACAAACTTTTAATGGCTTTAACTGATTTTATGCTTGATTTGATATTGTTTTTTCTTGAGTTTTACTGTTTGTCTGCCTTTTTTTGTAGTTGTGTTGTTTTTATTGATTATTTTGTTCGCACATACTTAACATTGGTTATGAGTTATTTTATTGTAGTTACACTGAACTATGTTATTGTTTGTTATAATATTGATTTGTTGTATTATTGTTGTTAATATTGACAATATTGTACTTTTGACAATATATATAAAAATAGTTGGTGTTAGCCTATATAATATGTATTTATTTAAGCATATAGTGATAAATATATGTTTTAATACAATAAATTATAAAAACAGGCTTTAAAAACCTACATAAAATAAAACATAATAAAATAAACATATAAGGAAGAAACTCACCACGCTGTCCTGTCTTTCTCTGTTGTTTTCTTGTTGTTCAGCTGTTGGACAAAGATTTCTGTCCCCTCCACTTCTGTCCCTCCAACCAACCCTGAACTGATTTTATATCTTCAGCCAAGGGCACACACACGCACGCGCGCACACACACACACATACACACGCATGCATGATGACGTTATTACCTGAAATCTCCCCATCATTCTCTTATTCATGCTTGTAAACACGTACTGCTCCATGAAAATGGACAATCAATGAAATATCATCCCCCTCTTCCACCCACACACAAACGTACACACACACACACACACACACACCATCAGCATCATCATCATCATCACTCTCCAATGAAAAGCCCCTAACTCAAAAAGCTGAACAAGTCTACAGATGTCACGCAAGCTGTGAGGCTGTAATGCTCATTGAGAAGAACCAAACTGTTAGAAAGATTCAAGCTTTGGTTTTAAAAGGTGATTTTTTTTTTTACATACTTTCAGTTATCAAACAAATGAACGTCTGTTGGTCTGAAATATCTAAAAAACTCTATAATGCCTCCCTCAGAGTCAGACACCCCTCCTTCTGTAATCTGACACAAACACGGACATCACTTTTGGCAACTTTTTGCACATATTATTCAAACTGTAATTTTATATTTTATATATCTTTTATATATATATTTTAATATATATTAATATATATATTACTTATATTTTGTTCTTAATAGATGTCTGCTTGTATATATATGTTGTTTGTATACCTGGATCTTTGTAACACCAAATAATTGTCCCCCTGGGATTCTTAAAGTATTTCTTGATATCTGATTCTGAAATTAACAGGCATAAATTAGTGGTGAAATTTTTGAGCATCCATGGTCCCCAAAAGGTTGAAATACTGCTGACTTTGGTGATCTCTGACTTTCCTGTAGCCACCATGGAGGTTGATGATTGGACAGTTGTGGTTTTTGTGTAACTTCCTTTCAATTATTCGAACAGGACTTGCCATAAAATTCAAACATGCTGTTCAGGATGAATTGTAATAATTGTTTTTTAAGAGCATTATCAAGTCATGAATGTCCTTTTTCCATATACTTTGGTTCATGACCAAATACCTGCAAAACTAATGACATTCCCATCAGCCTCGGCTATACTTGAGTGTTTAGTTTATTAGCAAACGTTAGAATAAATAATGTCAACGTGCAAATCACTGCATTGTGAACATCGTACATGTTAGCCGGAGACAAAGTGAAGAACAATAACAAACTATATTGTTTTTAAAAATCATACTAACACCATCAACTGTAACGACAACGACAGTGACGAACGATATTGTTGGGATCACTTTTAGAGCAATTTAACAGTACCAACTTAATTAAACATGTGTATATAACGTAGGCTGCAGATTACACATAAATAATATATCTGTAGCATGATGGGGTTTCTTTGGTACGTATTGTTTTCTTATTTGTGTTTGAATATGAATAAAATCGTACCGTAGTCGCCGCAACAGAAAGAAACCACAACCATGTTCATTCTCCATTCACCCTTGCCTGCTGCTGCAGCTGTGAAATTCACGGACATATGAACAGATTAAACCAGACCAACATGTTGTGCACGAGGGAAGAAAGGGAGTAAACCTGTGGTCAGAGTCTACAGTTAACACACACCCTGGCCTGCGGCAGACATCTCTCCTCCATTGTTTGAGCCCTGAGTGGACTAATGACGGATTGAAAGGGGATGACTTGGTTTACGGACCATCTAGGGGAAAGGCTGAATGAGGGGTAACAATCATTTTTTAAGTTCAGTGTCAACCAGGAAGACCGCGCTCTTAAGACTCTGAGGTTATGCTGACCTCACTTTCAGACCTTCATCACCAGGAGCCTTCTCTTTTCACCTCCAGGTCCTGATATTTTAAAAGGCATCTGTTTACAGAAGTGTTGTCAGAGGTTTGACCACTGTCTTGAAAACTGTTACTCCATCAAAGTCATAATTTGGAGTGCCTGTGTCTCAAAAACGTATGTAATTTCCCTCCCCTCGTTGTTTTCCCGTTTTTCGTTGTGTACCCACTTTCCAAGTAATTTCCCACGGGATTATAAAGTATTTTTTTCTTGATGATTTTCTCCCTGATTCTGATCTGATTTTCTGAAAAAAGCACATGCAGTGATTGGTTGGGGTGTGTGAGGTTAAACTGTGGACAGGAGTATGAATCCTTTTCCCTTCAAACTACATAG